CAGTGCTCTGCCACTGAGCTAAAGAGGCTTACAACATCACGATGACAAATGCACAACATAAACAAAACCTCTGAAATAAGTGTTGGAAAATGTCTGTATTATCATAAAAAAACAGTGTTGACAACCACAAATAATATTAACCCCTAAAAGGCAAAACATAATTCACAGGCAACAGTTAATCCCTGTTTTAATAATAACATCTACTGTATGAAAATCACCTTTTTATGAAAAAACACTGTGAAAACTTTTTAAAAATTTATCAGTTTTAAAACAAAACTTCATCTTTGAACCCATTTTTTTACAAAACCTTTTTTATGTATTTTTTATATAATTTTCAATTTATTGCATAAGATAATGTTAAAAACCTATATTTCTTTTAATAATATTATTACATATTTAATTATAAAATGTTTATAAAATTTCATTCCTACTTGGCTCCACGATTTTCAGCCAATTTTTCTTTGAAAATTCTCTTCAACTCTTCGGCACCCTCTTCATTCGTATCCTTATAGTAGGGCAATTCAGACATACGTTTTAGCCAAGCTCTTAAATTAGGAAATTTAAACTCATCTATAGGTGCCACTTCATTAACCGATGTTATAGTAGCTACACAACAAAAATCAGCAATAGTCATATCATCGCCACACACATAAGGATGCTCTTTCAGGAATTGTTCCATAATTTCCCAACATTTTTGTATGTAGGCAATTTTATCAATAGAACAATCGGTAGAACCAAAATAGAGTATAGGTTCGTAGAGGAAACGTAGACGAGCAAATAAATGACCGGAATCGAAGTGAAGACGAGCATCTACTTGAGCACGTTTTAATAGATCCTTGGGATATAATTTATCATCTTTAGCATATTTCTCTATCAAATAGGAACAAATGGCATGGGAGTCGTAGAGCGTGGCATCACCATCCACCAAAGTGGGTATGGTATGTTGGGGATTCATTTTTATGAATTCCGGTGTTAAATGTTCACCCTTGAGGAGATTAATGGGTCTGTAATTAAGAGAAATTTGTTTTTGTTTATACGGAATTTGAAGCTATAGCTTTGGGAACTTTGTATTAGCCTTAATAAAAGATACAACTTACTTGTATTCCAATTCCAAACCAATCTCTTTGGCTGTAAGCATAACAGCTCTTGAGGGTGGACTCAATGTAGCCATATATAAAATGGGTTTAGTCATTTTGTTTAGTTATTAACTGTAAAAAAAAGACAATAAAATTATTTGATAAAAATGTTTGTTTGATGAATTTCTATTTGTCCTGGGAATGTCTATCTAATTCACAGAGATCAGGCTTTAGACTATCAAATATGTCTAAGGAGCTGTTAAGCAACGCCCGAAAACTGTAATTTCAACAAAAAAGGAACGAATGGAGCTTAACAAAAACATAGCTACGATCATTATACACAATACCGACAATCGTAAAACATTGATATCAAAGAGAATACGGAATACCAAATTTGCCGAATGGAAATAATTTCGACACAAAACGAAATTCAGTATAGGGATGATTAAATGAAGATTGATTTTGAAAACTGAACTAACGAGTTAATTTAATCTTTCCCTGACTTTAGAAAATTTAAACGATTGATTAAAAATTAATTAATAATAACTTAGGCCTATTATTCAAATCATCATTTAAATTAACTGATATTCATTTATAGTGAGTAAATTAATCGAGTGCTTATTAATTGAATCAAATTAATTAATATTCATTTATTAATTTAGTAAATTAATATTGCAAATAAGAATATAAATACTGAAATAGAAATAGAATCACAAACAAAACATCTGACAAATAATCGAAATTATTATTTTTTATTATTTTATAGATGTGATCATGACAAATTTTACTCCAAATTGAAAAATTATGAATATAACTATAACTATAGTGGAAGTAGGAAGGGTTGGGAACAATTTAATAGTACTATTTAATATATATATAACCTAAAGTAGGTAATATTCTCATATCTACTATATATACTATAAAAAAGTATTTCATAAATAAAGAGTTGCGAGTGTATGTATATGAAATTATTAACGCTTTTGTTTTACTAATTGCGTTTTTTTGCAACAGTGACGAGTAAATTGAGTTAAAATTTGAAATTTTAAACAAATAAGATTTAATACTTGTCAACTTCAAACAATTTTATTTAATCATGAATGTTTTAATACCCCCCAGTTTGTAGCCCTTAACAAATCTTAATAGAATTAAGTCAGTTTCGAATTATTGAACTTGTTTTTAAATAATTTATATTAACCTAAGATAACAGGTTAATATAAATTATTAACTGATAAGCAAGGTGTTCTTATCTTTTTTAGTTATATGTTTTTAGATTTAAGTCAAAACGAAATTTAAACATTGTAATAAATTAGCTTGACACTGTATTGCTTTTCGGGATGGAAATAATAAAACAATAACTACAAAAACACAATTTGTGGATATTAGTTAGAATACAAACAAAAACAATGAAACTATGAAAACAATCGAAATCGGACGAATATTTATAATATACACAAATATGTATTTAAAACTACTCCGACATTCTCTTCTATTCTATGAAATACAGTCTAGTCTATAGTCATGTTTATAGTCTAGTCTATAGTGTAGTCAATAGTGTAGCCTACAGTTTAGTCAATAGTGTAGTCAATAGTGTAGTCAATAGTCTAATCTATAGTCTAGTTTATAGTGTAGTCAATAGTGTAGTCTATAGTCTAGTCTATGGTCTAGTCTATAGTCTAGTCTATAGTCTAGTTTATAGTCTAGTCTATAGTCTAGTCTATAGTCTAGTCTATAGTCTAGTCTATAGTCTAGTCTATAGTCTAGTCTATAGTCTAGTCTATAGTCTAGTCTATAGTCTAGTCTATAGTCTAGTCTATAGTCTAGTCTATAGTCTAGTCTATAGTCTAGTCTATAGTCTAGTCTATAGTCTAGTCTATAGTCTAGTCTATAGTCTAGTCTATAGTCTAGTCTATAGTCTAGTTTATAGTCTAGTCTATAGTCTAGTCTATAGTCTAGTCTATAGTCTAGTCTATAGTCTAGTCTATAGTCTAGTCTATAGTCTAGTCTATAGTCTAGTCTATAGTCTAGTCTATAGTCTAGTCTATAGTCTAGTCTATAGTCTAGTCTATAGTCTAGTCTATAGTCTAGTCTATAGTCTAGTCTATAGTCTAGTCTATAGTCTAGTCTATAGTCTAGTCTATAGTCTAGTCTATAGTCTAATCTATAGTCTAGTCTATAGTATAGTCTATAGTCTAGTCTATAGTCTAGTCTATAGTCTAGTCTATAGTCTAGTCTATAGTCTAGTCTATAGTCTAGTCTATAGTCTAGTCTATAGTCTAGTCTATAGTCTAGTCTATAGTCTAGTCTATAGTCTAGTCTATAGTCTAGTCTATAGTCTAGTCTATAGTCTAGTCTATAGTCTAGTCTATAGTGTAGTCTATAGTCTAGTCTATAGTCTAGTCTATAGTCTAGTCTGTAGTCTAGTCTAGTCTAGTCTATAGTCTAGTCTATAGTCTAGTCTATAGTCTAGTCTATAGTCTAGTCTATAGTCTAGTCTATAGTCTAGTCTATAGTCTAGTCTATAGTCTAGTCTATAGTCTAGTCTATAGTCTAGTCTATAGTCTAGCCTACCGTGGTCTAGTCTATAGTCTAGTCTATAGTCTAGTCTATAGTCTAGTCTATAGTCTAGTCATAGTCTAGTCTATAGTTCTAGTCATAGTCTAGTCTAGTCTAGTCTATAGTCTAGTCTATAGTTAGTCTATAGTCTAGTCTATAGTCTAGTCTATAGTCTGTCTATAGTATAGTCTATAGTCTAGTCTATGTCTAGTCTATAGGTCTAGTCTCTAGTCTAGTCTATAGTCTAGTCTATAGTCTAGTCTATAGTCTAGTCTATAGTCTAGTCTATAGTCTAGTCTATAGTCTAGTCTATAGTTAGTCTATAGTCTAGTCTATAGTCTAGTCTATAGTTATAGTCTAGTCTAGTCTAGTTCTATAGTCTAGTCTATAGTCTAGTCTATAGTCTAGTCTATAGTCTAGTACTCGTCTAGTCTATAGTCTAGTCTATAGTCTAGTCTATAGTCTAGTCTATAGTAGTCTATAGTCTAGTCTATAGTCTAGTCTATAGTCTAGTCTTAGTCTAGTCTATAGTCTAGTCTATAGTCTAGTCTATAGTCTAGTCTTATAGTCTAGTCTATAGTCTAGTCTATAGTCTAGTCTATAGTCTAGGTCTTATAGTCTAGTATAGTCTAGTCTATAGTCTAGTCTATAGTCTAGTCTATAGTCTAGTCTATAGTCTAGTCTAGTCTAGTCTAGTCTATAGTCTAGTCTATAGTCTAGTCTATAGTCTAGTCTATAGTCTAGTCTATAGTCTAGTCTATAGTCTAGTCTAGTCTATAGTCTAGTCTATAGTCTAGTCTAGTCTATAGTCTAGTCTATAGTCTAGTCTATAGTCTAGTCTATAGTCTAGTCTATAGTCTAGTCTAGTCTATAGTCTAGTCTATAGTCTAGTCTATAGTCTAGTCTAGTCTATAGTCTAGTCTATAGTCTAGTCTATAGTCTAGTCTATAGTCTAGTCTATAGTCTAGTCTATAGTCTAGTCTATAGTCTAGTCTATAGTCTAGTCTATAGTCTAGTCTATAGTCTAGTCTATAGTCTAGTCTATAGTCTAGTCTATAGTCTAGTCTAGTCTATAGTCTAGTCTATAGTCTAGTCTATAGTCTAGTCTATAGTCTAGTCTATAGTCTAGTCTATAGTCTAGTCTATAGTCTAGTCTATAGTCTAGTCTATAGTCTAGTCTATAGTCTAGTCTATAGTCTAGTCTATAGTCTAGTCTATAGTCTACGCTATAGTCTAGTCTATAGTATAGTCTAGTCTAAGGTACTTAATTTTCATGCCTGGTCTAAACGCCATTTTTAAAGATCATCCACTGTAAATTATCACAGCTGTATACACAATTTAATTTAAATTTTTCCATACATACTATACCCGTTTTGTATTCGCAGTAATCTGTGAACAAAACAAAACCGAGGAAAAAAAAGAGTAGAAAAAACAATAAAAAAATAGTCTAATGAATTTTTAATACCGGCCCATAAGATGTTTGTTTGTATTTTTTTCTAATTTCACTTGTTGCTAAACAAATTAAATATTTAATAATGTTATACATACATAAATAAATATATGTATATAATTAAAAAGATTATATTTAGTCGTTTATTAAAATAGTTATACACTTTTTTTATCTCAAATGTAGTTTTTTATTATCTAAAGTACACATACCTTTTGTTTATGTAATAAAAATAATAATAATGAATAAATAAATTGAATGACCAAAACTTTTGATTACTTTTTTTTGTAGCGTTTTCAAAACAAAATACACCTTTCTGATACAATCGCTGTTAGACAACTAAATTTGTTGTATAGATTTTGTTGTGTTTACTGGTTCCCCTCAATGTAGTTCGGTTTAGTTGAGAGTTTAGCAGGTTCTTCCACTTATTTGTTTGTTGTGGTTTTTTTTTAATTCGTTTTATGCAAGAGGGGTCGGTCCGTCTATTTGTTGTTCTCTTCTTTTGGTGAGTATATAATTTACTATATGGTGCATTTGTATATTATTGTATTAAAGGAGAGTTCCATTGGGTTATCTAAAATAAGCTTTTATTTTGTCCGAACACTTACTCACTCACTTATTTAGTTGTTCTTCTGTTGATAGTGCAATTTATTAGATCTTTTAAAAGTTTGTGCTCTTTTCAAATTCAAATCAATATTATAACGAGTAATACTATTAAATTAATAAAAAAAACTTTTTACTTTTTATGAATTTTCGAAAATATATGAAAATTTGTATTATTGTACCTCGTATTCTGAAACCTTATTGAAAATACTTCAAAATTTTTGAACATTTTGAAATTATTTTCAAAATTGGAATATGTGAGAATTTGATTGCAAATAACTGCTTGCAAAAAATGACTGAACTAGAACTGAACAAGAACAGAACTAGAACTGAACTAGGACTGAACTAAACTAGAACTGAACTAGAAACTGAACTAGAACTGAACTAGAACTGAACTAGAACTGAACTAGAACTGAACTAGAACTGAACTAGAACTGAACTAGAACTGAACTAGAACTGAACTAGAACTGAACTAGAACTGAACTAGAACTGAACTAGAACTGAACTAGAACTGAACTAGAACTGAACTAGAACTGAACTAGAACTGAACTAGAACTGAACTAGAACTGAACTAGAACTGAACTAGAACTGAACTAGAACTGAACTAGCACTGAACTAGAACTGAACTAGAACTGAACTAGAACTGAACTAGAACTGAACTAGAACTGAACTAGAACTGAACTAGAACTGAACTAGAACTGAACTAGAACTGAACTAGAACTGAACTAGAACTGAACTAGAACTGAACTAGAACTGAACTAGAACTGAACTAGAACTGAACTAGAACTGAACTAGAACTGAACTAGAACTGAACTAGAACCGAACTAGAACTGAACTAGAACTGAACTAGAACTGAACTAGAACAGAACTGAACTAGAACTGAACAGAACTGAACTAGAACTGAACTAGAACTGAACTAGAACTGAACTAGAAACTGAACTAGAACTGAACTAGAACTGAACTAGAACTGAACTAGAACTGAACTAGAACTGAACTAGAACTGAACTAGAACTGAACTAGAACTGAACTAGAACTGAACTAGAACTGAACTAGAACTGAACTAGAACTGAACTAGAACTGAACTAGAACTGAACTAGAAATGAACTAGAACTGAACTAGAACTGAACTAGAACTGAACTAGAACGACTAGAACTGAACTCGAACTGAACTAGCACTGAACTAGAACTGAACTAGAACTGAACTAGAACTGAACTAAGAACTGAACTAGAACTGAACTAGTAAGAACTGAACTAGAAACTGAACTAGACTGAACTAGAACGAACTAGAACTGAATGAACTGAACTAGAACTGAACTAGAACTGAACTAGACTGAACTAGAACTGAACTAGAACTGAACTGAACCTAGAACGAACTAGAACTGAACTAGAACTGACTAGAACTGAACTAGAACTGAACTAGAACTGAACTAGAACTGAACTAGAACTGATAACTAGAACTGAACTAGAACTGAACTAGAACTGAACTAGAACTGAACTAGAACTGAACTAGAACTGAACTAGAACTGAACTAGAACTGAACTAGAACTGAACTAGAACTGAACTAAACTGAACTAGAACTGAACTAGAACTGAACTAGAACTGAACTAGAACTGAACTAGAACTGAACTACAACTGAACTAGAACTGAACTAGAACTGAACTAGAACTGAACTAGAACTAAACTAGAAACTGAACTAGAAATGAACTAGAACTGAACTAGAACTGAACTAGAACTGAACTAGAACTGAACTAGAACTGAACTAGAACTGAACTAGAACTGAACTAGAACTGAACTAGAACTGAACTAGAACTGAACTAGAACTGAACTAGAACTGAACTAGAACGAACTAGAACTGAACTAGAACTGAACTAGAACTGAACTAGAACTGAACTAGAACTGAACTAGAACTGAACTAGAACTGAACTAGAACTGAACTAGAACTGAACTAGAACTGAACTAGAACTGAACTAGAACTGAACTAGAACTGAACTAGAACTGAACTAGAACTGAACTAGAACTGAACTAGAACTGAACTAGAACTGAACTAGAACTGAACTAGAACTGAACTAGAACTGAACTAGAACTGAACTAGAACTGAACTAGAACTGAACTAGAACTGAACTAGAACTGGACTAGAACTAATTTTAGTTTAATTTGAGGACATTTTCTTATATATTTTTTAAATATTTGGAAATTTTTCACAAATATAAAGATTTTTAAGTTTAAACTTTATATTTATACAAAATTGCCTGTAAGTCCTGTAATTAAGAATTCCTCAGCTAAATTCACTTAGACCTTTTCAATATAAAGATGATATTGACATCTGCAGCAGTTTCCATTGATTTCACGCACATAAAACTCCAACTCCGAATATGATTTTTGTCTTTTACTTATTATACCAATATAAATTGTTATAGTTTCGTTAGATTCCCAAAATATTTTCCTTCTCCACAAGCATAATAAGGAAATAAATATTCTTCTTCTTCTTTAAATAAAATCTTTATATTGTTTTAAATACATTTAATACTTGTGTTAGTGTTCAACGACAACACAACATACAAGTATTTATTGTATGTTTATTTCATTTTTTATAAGTATTTTTTTTTTTTTTTTTGTTTAAATATAATAATTTTAAATAAATTTAATATTTGATGAATAATATCGCGTAAATAATACATTGAGTTCGATAACAATAAAATGTTCTTTTTTAAAATATAAAGAAATCATGATTTTTTTTGTATAAAATAAAAAAAAAATTAAATTGAATTCATGTTTAAACTGGGATTTTGCCTTTGTTCATATACTATAAGCATTCTTTCTTTTTTTTAAAAAATCATTATTAAAATATAATGGAATATATTTAAATATAAATAAATTTAATGTAATGTAATTTAATGGTTACATATATAATACATATACACTATATAAATTTTGGAATTGAAACAATAATACAAGAACACACATCTATACAAACAAAGTTAAACTTTGAAAGGTATATATAGAGAGAGATTTTAGAATAATATCAAAATAAAAAAAAAGAATTAAAGCATAATTTTGTAACAAGAAAAGGAAGTACACAATAATAATGTATATATTAAGAGTAAAAGACATAAAGTTGATATGATTAAATTATAGTTTTAAGTAAGCATACATATAGTTAATATAATAATAATTATTTATCTGCAAAATTTACTGATCCACCATGCTGCGTTTAATGGCCTCTTGTAGATCATCATCAAAGGTTTCCGGTTTCGAATAGTCTGCCTCAAACTTTTCTGGCAATTTAGCACCATTTTCTGTATTCTTATTATCGACTGTTAATTTATTTTGTACTTTTATAAAATTATCAGTTTTTGTTAAAGAGTATTTTGGTTTTGCTATGGAATTATTAAGATTAGTTGTGGTGTTAGCGGAATTATTAAAATTATCCTCATTGAGCGTGCCGAAAGCATCGAATTTTGCAAAATCATTATCGTTAAAGGGTAAAGGAGATTTATTCAGTTTCGAGTTGTTATTATTTAAATTGGTTTCTTTTAGTGTTGAGCTAATGGTGTTGTCTTTTGCTAGATTTGCTGTCTTAAAGAAATCATCCTCAAAGTTGTTATCGTTAAAGGCATCAAACAAGGCCGTTGCTACCTGTTGGGTCTTATTAGTTGCATTTAAATTATCACCAAAAGCATCAAATGCTGTTGTAGTTTTATCGCTAACATTACCAAAAGCATCAAATGCATCTAGAGATTGAAGAGATTTTGTATTCGTTTTTAAAGGATTTGAATTAGAATCTAAACTTTTATTAGAAGTTGTTTCGAAATTATCATTAAATGCATCGAAGAAGGGATCGGCTTTTGAAACATTGGTCTTTTTATTAGATTCCATAGTCGAGGTAGATGATTTCGTTGAGAAGGTATCGAAATCAGCAAAATTATCAAATAGACTTGTTGGTGTAGCTTTTGCATTGTTCATAGGTATGGGTGTATTACTTTTGGATTTTGCCGCATTATTGTCTTTCATATCCGAACCGCTTGCACCCATAAATGCTGATGATGTAGACGAGTGATGTGAAGGCACTGGACTGGGATTTGATTGTAGCGTAAAGCTATCAAATTGATTTAAAAATTCACTGCTTACAGTAGAATGTGATTTAGCGGTGCTAAAGGCATTTGAAGCACTCGAAGAACTTGTTGTATTTGCTTGAAACGAATCGAGATTGAAAGCGTTGTTATTTTTGTTTTGATTGATTTTGAGGGTTTCATCTGGAAAAATGGAGATATGTATATTGGTTAATAGGGCAATATGGACTATTCTATTGAATATTCTATGGACTAGTCTATGTACCAGTCTAACGACTAGTCTATTGACTAGTCTATGAACCAGTCGATGAACTAGTCTATGAACTAGTTTAATAACTAGTCTATAAACTAATCTATTGACTAGTCAATGGACTAGTATATGTACTAGTCTATTGAATAGTCCATGCACTAATATATGGACTAGTCTAATGACTAATCTATGAACTAGGCTATAGACTAGTATATGGAGTAGACTATTAACTAGTCTATAGGCTAGTCTATGGACTACTATATGGACTAGTCTAACAACTAAATAAAATTGACTATTCTATGGACTAGTTTATTGAATACTCTATGCACTAGTAGATGGACTAGTCTTTTGATTAGAATATGGTCTGGTATATGGACTAATCTATGGACAAGTCTATTGAATAGTATATTGACTAATCTATGGACTAATCTATAGACTAATCTATGAACGATTCTATTGACCAGTCTATAACTAGTATATGTACTAGTCTGTTGACAAGTCTATGTACTACTTTGTTGACTTGTCAATGAACTAGCCTATTGACTAGCCTATTGTCCAGTCTGTTGACTAGTCTATTAATTAGTCAGTTTACTAGTCGATGGATTAATCTAATGATTAATCGATTCACTATTCTATACCCTAGTCTATGGACCTGTATATTTAATAGTCTATGGGCTAGTATATTAACTGGTCTATGAACTAGTCCATTGACTAGTCAAACGACTAGTATATGGACGCTAGTAATGAATGTTCCATCCCTGACAGTGACCTTATTTAGTAAATAATATATTTAATCTTCATGTAAGTACTTACCTTCCGAGGCAACAATTACATCATCTTTAAATACTTTATCCGGATCAGTGGGAAATTCATCATCATCGTCATCGAAAGGATCTTTAATATTAAATGGATCCTCGTAACGATAGTCTTTAAAGGGATCATCCTTAAAATCGGTGGGACCACTTATGATCGAAGAAGTTGATTTAATCGTACTAAAATGATCCATCTTATTTGTTGCTGCTGTATCCGAGGAAGAAGTCGTTGTCATTGTACCAAACGCATCAAATACACTCGATGTACTTGGGGTTGTTTTTGTGGTCGTTGTCGTTGCTGTTGTTGTTGTTGCAGCCAGCTGCAGTGGTGTAGTGGAACGTGTTAAATGATTATTTATGTTTGTTGAAGTTGTAGTTGCGATGTTGGTGGTGGTGCTGTCAACTACGTTGTTCATGGTGGAAATGCTTGCATTTGTCTTACTATACAATTCCGATAGGGCTTCTCTATTCAGAGCGGTATTCGAGCCAAATAAGGATGTAGTGGTTTGCGATTGGGATGCAGTAGCAGTAACAGGAGTGGGTGGTGTCAATGTGAAATTATCAAATAATGATAGATTTGTGTTTGACAATGATGATGATGATGCTATTGACGAAATTGTCGATGACGATGATGGAGTTATTGTTGTGGCTAATGTTGTTGTATTCGTTGTAGTTGTGTTCTTTAGCTTATTAAAATTGTTTTGAGTTGGTGTTTTTGTTGGTATTGTGGGTGCAAATGGTGGTGGTAAAGTGGGAGCCTACAGTTTGGTTTAAAATAAAATTAAAAAAAAAAAAAATAAAACAAACAAATAAAAAAATGTTAAAAAAATTAAGCAAACTAAAATTAAATGAAAATTAATAGGTTTTTTATAAGATTTCAAATATTTATGAATTACAAACAGGAAACTATTGTAAATAATTTTGAAATCTTATTTTACAAATTTCGCATTAATAAATGTTGTTTAACAAACTTATAGAAATTAAGAACAATAAAAAATGTGCAATACAAAGAATAAACCAAATTAATATAAAATTATTTTATAATTTAATAAATGAATATCAAGACAAAATAACAAACAAATATTAATAAAATAAATATAAACCAAGCTGCCCGATTCTTAGGTCACCAACAAGGTATAATACATAAAATCAGTGGCAATGAAATCATGGAAAATATTACTAAAAATTCCTAAACAAATCGGCGTATAAATATTAAGCAATAGGAAATAGACGTGACTACAGACCCGACTATAAACCAGCCTATAGGCCATACTACAGACCAGACTATGGACCGGACTATAGACCAGACTATATACTAGACTATAGCCCAGACTAAAGACCAGGCTATAAACTAGACTATAGATCAAACTATAGATCAAACTATAGATCAGACTATAGACCAGACTATAGACTAGACTATAGACCAGACTATAGACTAGATTATAGACCAGACTATAGACCAGACTATAGGCCAGACTATAGACCAGACTATAGACCAGACTATAGACCAGACTATAGACCATAGTATAGACCAGACTATAAACCAGACTATAGACCAAACTATAGACCAGACTATAGAGCAGGCTATAGACCAGACTAAATACCAGGCTATAGACCAGATTAAAGACCAGACTATAGATCAAACTATAGATCAGATTATAGACCAGACTATAGACAAGACTATAGACCAGACTATAGACCAGACTATAGACCAGACTATAGACCAGACTAAAGACCAGGCTATAGACCAGACTATAGATCAAACTATAGATCAGGCTATAGATCAGACTATAGACCAGACTATAGACCAGGCTATAGAAAAGACTATAGATCAAACTATAGATCAGACTATAGACCAGACTATAGAAAAGACTATAGACCAGACTATAAACAAGACTATAGACCAGTCTATAGATTAAACTATAGATCAGACTATAGATCAAACTATAGACCAGACTATAGACCAGACTATAGCCAAGACTATAGGCCAGACTATAGACCAGACTATAGACCAGACTATAGACCAGACTATAGATCAAACTATAGATCAGACTATAGACCAGACTATAGACAAGACTATAGACAAGACTATAGACAAGACTATAGACCAGACTATAGACAAGACTATAGACCAGACTATAGACAAGACTATAGACCAGACTATAGATCAAACTATAGATCAGACTATAGATCAGACTATAGATCAGACTATAGACCAGACTATATACCAGGCTATAGACCAGACTATAGACCAGACTATTTACCGGACTACAAACCAAACTATAGTCCACTATGGATCAGACACTGGACCATACTTCACATCAGACTATAGACCATACTGTAGACCAAACTATAAATCAAATTAAAGAACAGACTATAGATCAATCTATAGACTAGACGATATATAGCCTGGTCTAGATTATAGACCAGACTATAGACCGGGCTACAGACCAAACTATAGTCTACTGTTAGACACTAGATCAGACTATAAACCGGACTATAGCCCTGACTATAGACCCGACTATAGACGAGGCTACAGACCGGACTATAGACCAGATTATATACCTGACTTTAAATCAGACAAAAGATAAGACTATATATCAGATAAAAGACCAGACTATAGATCAGATTATAGACCAGACTATATACCCGACTATAGACCAGGCTATAGACCAGACTATAGAACAGACAGTAGACCAGACTTTAAATTAGATAATAGACCAGACTATAGATCAGATTATAGACCTAGACCAGACTATAGACCAGACTCTAGACTAGACTATAGACCAGACTATAGACCAGAATTTAATCGATTTTATAAATCATAGTATAGTCAATACTTTAGAACTAACTATAGACGAGACTATAGATCCGACTATAGTCAATTCTTATTCATAGTAGAAGCCTTGCTCATAAACTAAATTCTTTAATTATAAAACTCTTTTTATATCTTTAAATTACATATTACTTTATATTTTTATTATTTTTGCAAATTTATTTATTTTTATTATTTTATTTTTTTTAAGTGTATACTTTGTTTCTTTACATTAATTCATTATTTTTTTTATATATATTATTATGCCTTTGTATGTATTTTTTTCTATATATTTTTTTTAATTTAACAATAGCAGTAGTTTTTTTTTTTTCATAAATATAATGATAACGAAATTTTGTGTTATGTATGTTTCAATATTTTATCATGTATTTGTTAATAAGTTTATATTTCTTTTTCAATAAATGACATTTAAATATGTATGTGCAAGTGTTTAGTTGTTGAAGAGAATGTTGAGAATGTATGTATTAATGTAAATTTTTATCTAATTACTATGGTTTTGCTGCACCAAATAGAATTGCCTATTGTTTAGTTAGGAAACGATTTTAGGAAGAATTTTTTAAAGAAATTTAAAAAATTGTTTGAATAAAACTAAGCATATAACTGATTAAGAATAGAGATAAAAAATATCTTAAAAAAATTTTGAAAAATTCTACAGAATATAGAAGTAATGCAGCAAAAAACTTCTCCCTAATGATTTCCTAATTTTGTAACACATTTACTAACTATTAATATGTATTATGGAGTATGTTTGTATGTATTTCGTTATTTTCTTAATTGGTCAAGAAGAATACATAGATTATTTTATGTTTTTATTTTATAAATATGTTTTTTTTTTTTATTTCAAATAATGTTAAACATTTACATTTAAACTGAAAAACAGAAAAAAAACCTTTTTATTCAAACTAGAAATATTTAGCTAAACATTAATGAGTAATTAACTTTAATTTTTGTTTAAACATTTATTTTCAAAACTTGTAAATAGTTAAGAGATGGATGATAAGGAGATGATATTAAAAGAATTTTTTTGTAATTTAAACGAAGTTTTTCATGGACTCTATAGAAAGTCAATTGATTATTAACTGGCGAAACATTGAGTTCAAAACCTGCAATATTTAGATATTTTATCTTAACACTTTTTCAATTTCCAAAAAAAAGTACTAAAATTAGAATTTCCCAGTTATTTTATTTTTGAAAATAATCCTTTTGTTTTCATTTATAAAATGATTTTGTTTTTAACAGATATTTAACGCCAATATTAAATGTTTACTTTAGTGGTAAATGAGTTGGTTGATTGATTGATTTTCTTTAGGAAATTATTATTAATATGTTATGTTAGATTTCTCTTTTTTTTTTAAATTTAACGAACACTTTTACTTTATTTTTAAGATGGTTAAGGTACACGAAGAAATATTATAAGCGAACAAATGTTTAAATATTTTTCTTTTTTATAATATAGTTTTTCTTTAGTATGTTTGTTATTATTATATAGTTTATATGTGTTTAGTGTAAGTGTATGTATATTATTAGTTATTAGCTAAATATTGTTAAGTCACTTTGAAAATTTGTTTTAGACATAAGTACATACATATAATTTATTGTTAATAGAAAATTAAATAGAGAAATTGTTTTAGTTAAAGGAATGTTTTAAAGGAATTTTGCAATTGCAACTAATTAAACCAGCAGTTAAAAAAAGTTATTGAAAACTTTTTAAGATTTTTTTTAAAAATACGAAGAACAGTGGCTATAGGAGTGAATAATAATAAAACTATAGTAGAGTATATGGACCAGACTATAGTCGAGGCTAAAGTCAAAAATACAAAACAACAGACTAGATTATGGACCACTGTAGAACAGAGGCAACAGTATAGATAAGACTATAGATGAGTCTACAGACCTGACTGTAGACTAAACTATAGGATATAGAACAGAGTATAGTCTAGACCATAGATCAGATTATAGACCAGATTAGAATTCAGACAATAGACTATATTAATGGCCACAATATAGACCAGACAATAGACCAGATTACAGACCAGACTATAGACCAAACAATAGACCAGAATATAGAATATACTATAGACCAGAATTGAGACTATAGATCAGACCAAAAAATAGACCAGAATATAGAATAAACTGTAGACTAGATTGTAGACCAGACTATAGACAACACTGTGGACCAGACTATTGCCCAGTTTACAATCAGACCTACATATCAGACTTGAAGCCAGACAATAGACCAGACTATAGACTATACAATAGACCAGACTATAGATCATAGTCGAGCTAATTTATCAGACTGTTTACATACCAGGCTATAGATCACATTATATACCAGACTATAGACAAGATAACAGGCGAGATTACAGAAAATAATGTATACTTTAGTTCATACTACAGATCAGACTACAACCCAGATTATGTACCAGAGTACAGACTGGACTGTAGACATCACTATAGACCAGACTATAGTCGAGACTATTGACCAGTTTACAATCGAGACTATAGATCAAACTATAAACCAGACATGAAGTCAGACTAGATGCCAGACTATAGAACAGACTTACAATCGATACTATAGATCATACTATAAACCAGACTATAAGCCAGACTATAGACCAGATTATAGACCAGACTATAGACCCGTCTATAAATCAGACTATACACCAGACAATAGACCAGACTATAGTCGAGACCATTGACCAGTATACAATCGATACTATAGATCGGACATTGGTCCGATCAAAATATAGATCAGACTATAGACCAGACTATAGACCACACTATAGACCAGACTATAGACCAGCTTATAGACCAGACTTTAGACTAGACTATTTACCAGACTATAAACAAGACTATAGACCAGACTATAAAGCAGACTATAGACCAGATTATAGATCAGACTATAGACAAGACTATAGACCAGACTATAGACCTGAATATAGACCAGACTATAGACCAGACTATAGATCAGACTATAGACAAGACTATAGACCAGACTATAGACCAGAATATAGACCAGAATATAGACCAGAATATAGACCAGAATATAGACCAGACTATAGACTATACAATAGACTATACAATAGACCAGACTATAGATCAGAATATAGACCAGAAGAAAGGCTGAAAGCCAGACTATAGTCGAGCTAATTTATCAGACTGTCATCGAGACTATTGACTAGTTTAAAACTAACGAATATCCGGACTATGCGTTGTATGATCAATACTATACACCAGACAATAGACCAGACTATAGTCGAGACTATTGACCAGTATACAATCGATACTATAGATCGGAATATATACCAATCTATAGACCGAACATTCATCCAGATCAGAATATAGATCGGATTATGGACCAGACTATAGACCAGACAATAAACCAGACTATAGAGTAGACTATAAACCAGACTATAGACCAGAATATAGACCAGAATATAGACCAGACTATAGACTAAACAATAGACCAGACTATAGATCAGAATATAGGATCTATAGTCTGGTCTATAGTCTTGTCTATAGTCTGCTTTATATTCTGATCTATAGTCTGCTTTATAGTCTGGTCTATATTCTAGACTAGAAGAAAGACTGAAATCGAGCTAATTTATTAGACTATAACCTAGACTATTGACCAGTTTACAACTATAGATTCGAATATCCAGACTATACGTTGTATGATCAATAATTTTAATAAAATTTAGCACTCAATTAGTAGCACCTAACTAAAATTTCAAAACTAAAACTGCTGGCTGTAGTAATATAAACTAAATAAATTAATAACAAAAAAATTGTTAAAGCTTTTTTGTTTGTCAGTGTTAGAATACATTAGATTGATTAATGCAATAAGTTATGTATTAGTTTTAATGCTGTTTAAGTATTAATTTAGTTACAATCTAAAAAAATTATTATATAACGTTTAATATTTGTTTATCATGAATTGAAAAAAATTAAGAAAACAACATTTTAACATTATTTTTTCTTTGTGTTTTGCTTAATGTATGTTAATAAACGATTAATTGATTATATTAGTTTTCTTGTCTATGTATGTATATTTGTATATAAAGAGAAAGGGGGGGGGGGGGGAGGATAGAGTGTTAAGAGAGACAGTTATTAATATTAATAATAATATATACGAGTATAAATGTAATACGATTTTAAGATGTTCACTGAAAATAGAATTGTTTGTAGAAAAAAATGTAAAAGCATACAGTTAGTATGGTTTTTGTTTTGTCTCAGGATAAAAAAAAGCAACTAAAAAGCCCAGTAATTAAAAAAATAATCAGAGGAATTGAAATAAAGTGTGAATACATAAATAATATAATGTTAGATTTTAGTAAATAATAAGAAAAACATAAAATTTTGTTAAATATTTATTAAAGCCAAAAAATAATAAGAAATAATTATAAATGTAAACAACAATAAATTGCAAAAACTACTGTGAAAAATATGCAATATTTTTCGGTTAGTAACTATAAAACTCAAAATAGCAAATAGTTTAATGAAAAAAGCGGTGTGCATGCATTACCACCGATCCCAACGTACTGAAAAATTACCAACCTTATTGTCAAAATCGGCAAAATCAGCAAAACCTCCAGGATTTGAGGATGAACCAAAGGCATCTGGTTGTGCCGGACGATTGGGAGCCTAAAATGAAATTAATAGACAAACAAAGACATTATTAAGTGCTTTTAGTTTAAGTTGTAATAAAAACAAACCTGTAAGGGCCTGGGTGGAGCTGGTCTTGGCGGTGGTACCTTTGATTTTTTGGGCGGTAAAGCTGGACTAGGCGATTCTGGTCTAGGTGGAGGTCCTGACTTATTACTGCTGGCCAATGTGTTAGCAGTTTGTGTATTGGGGCTTAATACCTGACCCTGACCCGTGGGAGCATGTAAAGATGCAAAGGGATCACTATCAAAGTTATCTTTGACAGGCTGTAATGTTTAAAAGAATCATAAGTAAAACAAAAAATATTATCAGAAAACCATCTTCATCATTACCTCTGTTTTATTAGCAAATGCATCCCCACCAAAGGGATCTTTTTGTGTTTCACCAAATCCTCCACTGTTAGCACTGCTGCCAAAAGCATCAAAACCCGCATCGAATCCAGTATTAAAACTATCATCGAAACCTGTTTTTGTTGTTGCTGTCTTTGTTGTATTACCCGCAAAGGGATCACTCTCAAAACCATTTGTTGTAAAGCCATTGTTTTTATTTAAAGCTGTATTATTATCATTGAAGGGATCATCTTTTGGTATATCAATTTCTTTTTCCAAGGTTTTACGTGCTTCATCGAAATCTGGTTCAATTTTTAATTGATATTCTGAGACTAGTTCAGCGTTTTCTGCATCGATGGCAGCTCGACACATTAGTAAAGCATCAGTCATTTGACGTTGGGTTTCCATTAGTTGTGTGACCATTGAACGGATCTAAAAAGGGAAGCGGAGGAAATAAGTTTGTACTTTTTTTTTAAAAAACCGAACATAAATGAAAAATTTTAATTAAAAAAATCTGTAGAACAAGATAATTCTTAGAAAGTTTTGAAAATTCAAATTAAGGATCAAACTTTATTTTAGGCTTAAAAGCTCTTTGAAAACCCGAGGGTAAAGGTATATCTTCTTTTTTTTCGAATATTAAAATTTTAACGAATTTTGAATTTTTTTAATTTATAAAAAAAGTTTTTGGAATAAAGCTTTAATAGCCTGCTTTAGAAAACTTAAGAGAAATATTTTCAATTAAAAGCTTTTTTAGAAAACTTTTTAAGGGAAATATTTTTAATAAAATGATTTTATTGAAAGAGCTTTATACACAGAAAAAATTAATTTTAAAAAATTTTCAATTAAACGATTAATCAAGAATTTTAAAAGGGTTCAATTCATTTTGTATTTGATTCATAAAAATGTATAATCAAATACGTATTTAACAACAACAAAAATAGAAAAAAATAAAAATTTTGTGTACGAAATCAATTATAAGTAGTAATTGAATATACAATTTTTGTTATAGGTTGAACTTCAAAAAATAAAATAATTGAAAACGGGGTTTCGGTAATTGAAATCGTTTTTCAGTTTTTTCTGTGTATGAAAAACGTTGTTTAGAATCGGTTCAAATGAAAAAACTTTTTATAAAAAGCTTTCAACGAAAAAAGTTTTATAAAAAGCTATTAAAAGCTTTCAATAAAAAGTATTTTAATAAAAGCTTTTATTAAAACATCCTTGTTTACAAAAGGCTTCTAATCAAAAAATAAATTTTAAGCTTTTATGAAAAGCTTTTAAAAAACTTTTTGTAAAAAGCTTTTTATGACAAAATTTTTTTGAAAGCTTTTTATGAGTTTTTTGAGAGCTTTTTATTAAAAATGCTTTGTCAACAAAAAGCTTTTAATAGAAAACAAATTTTAAGTTTTTATAAAAAAGCTTTTAACCAAAACAATGGTTTTTAGGAAAAGCTTTTCGAAAAAAAGTTTTCTTCGATTTATTCTTCATACAAAGCTTTTTGAAAATTGTTTAATGAAAAGCATTTTTTTGAAAAAAGTGGTTCATAAGAAGTTTTAAATGAAGACACATTTTATAAAAAGCTTTCCTCGGTTTTTTTTTTAAGTTTTTTGAAAATTTTTATGAAAAGCTTAAATTGTAAAATTTTCTTCACAAGTACTTATTAGCACAAAAAAGATTTTATTTTTTTTGAGAAAGCTTTTAGTAAAAAAGTGGCTTATAAAAAGTTTTGAATGAAGACACATTTTATAAAAAGCTTTCATCGGTTTTTTTTTTTTTTTGACTTTTTTTGGAAATTTTTATGAAAAGCTTAAATTGTAAAATTATCTTCCCAAGTACTTATTAGGACAAAAAAGATTAAATTTTTTGAGAAAGCTTTTCGTAAATAAGTTTTATAAAAAGCTTTCTTTAGAATAAAAGTTGTTTATATAAAATTTTAATGAAAAAAATGTTTTTATAAAAAGCTTCTTGTAAAATAGTTTAATAAATAGCTTTTTTAAGTGGTTTATAAAAAGTTTGATTGAAATGTTTGAAAATGAAAGGTTTTTTTTGAATAATTTGAAAAGGTTATGAGTCATTTAAAAAAAAAACCATAAAAGCCGTTGATGAAAAAAACTTTTTTGTTTTTTTTAATTGTTTTTGCAAAGAATTAAAAAAGCTTTTGATGAAAACAGTTTTTTTGAAATTTTAAGAAGTTTTTAAAGAAAAAGCTTTTTATAAAAAATAGTTGCTAGAAAAAAGCTTTTAATAAAAATATATAAAAAGCTTAATTCAAAGCTTTTATTCGCAATAAATTTAAAAGCTTTGTATAAAAAAGTTTTTTTAAAGCTTTTTGTAAAAAGTTATCTTTTTTAAAGCTTTTAAAAAAATTTTTTATATTTTGATTGAAAAATTAACCAAATTCAACTTTTAATGTTAATTCTTCAAACTTACCGAACTTATTTGCAATTGTGTATTTTGTAAATGATTTGTTAATTTTTGTAATTCACGATTATTTTCATCATATTCCTTTTGCAATGAATTCTCTTCATCTTTAAGCTTTTGTAATTCTGAACGTTTTGCATTCAGTTCACCCTCTTGTTCATTAATAGTGTCTTCTTGTTTCTGACATTGTTCACGGATTTTATTAACCTACAAATAGAAAAGAAACAAAAATATAAAAAAAAAAACAAAACAAGGGATTAGTTTTTAATTCAAATGTAATATAGAATTAATTTAAATATAATACACAAAATCTAGAAATTATTGAGAACGCATGCATGCAGTAGTCAGTCTAGTTTCAAATAAAGTTTTATGTTTACTTTTCATATTTGGCTGAAAGTACGGCTGAAGGCGCAGAAGAGAAACACAAATTATAATGTTAAACAAATACTAATGTTGTTGGTGGTATGGTTATGTATTGTTTATAGAAAATATTAACACACATATTAACAGACAAAATAAATTACATAAAATAAATAAAACAAACAGAATAAACTAAACGAAATAAAACATAAGGGAAAATAACTTAACCAACCTGAATTCTCGTTTGGGTAATATCTAGATTTATACTTTCTAAGGACAGCTTATATTCAGAGCTCTTTATTTTGGCAAATATTTTCAATTAAATTTTAATTGGTTTGGGGAGTTTTGTACAGAGGTTTTTTTTAGGAACGTGCATAAACCATAATAAAATGTATTTGTAGCACATAACATTAGCCATTAGAAGTCAATAATTTTAAACAAAAAAACACACCCGTTTTTTAATTTTTAACATAACAAAAAAGAAAACATAATTAATTAAAATTTAACAAAACAAAAAACTATAATTAATAAAAAAACATAATCCAAAATAAATTGAAATAAAGAAATCAACTACTTTTAGTAATTTCAAATTCTTTATAATTCATACTAACCTGAGCTTTAAGATCATCTAAACGTTTCTGTGCCTCGCCACGTTGATTTTCCAATTGTTTTAAAGTTGCTGATAAAGTATCCAATTCGCTCTGTTATAATTAAACAAAATATTGTTTAAAAAATTTCCTTGATTTTATTTCACGATTGTAATTACCTGCAAACTTCTAACTTCACCATTTTTAATGCGTATATCGGCTTCTTTTTGAGCTATTTCAGTTTCTAAAGCTCTTCGTTCTTTAGCCAATTCTTCAATTTCCTTCGATATCATTTCCAATTCTGGATTAGTATAAGTTGGTTTTGATTCCTTGGATTTAATTTGATATGAGTTTTTAAGTGAATTGTTTATTTAAAATTAAAAATATCTTAAACTTACTTGTACATCTACACCGGATACTATGCCACGCATTGAAGGTGGCACCATGTTGGCAGTCAATACTTGTGGTGGATCAATACCTCTTTGTTTGCGTTCTACCATCCACATGGCCAAAGCGAATTGTTCTAAAGTTAATTTACCCGATTGGTTAGTGTCACAAAGGGCCCTGAAAAAAGGATTTTAAATATTTAAAAATTTTCTGTATCGAACGTTTTCATTGATTCATTAAAAGCTTTTTGTGTACAACTTTTTTAAACTTTTTACATGAAAAGTTTATTTCAAAAACATTTTCTGTAAAAAGCTTTAAATCAAAACTTTTTTCTTGGAAAAAATAAACTTTTATAAATTCTTATATAAGCTTTTAGATTAAAACTTTCATAAAAAGCTTTTTCGAAAACTTTTATTATAAAAGACTTTTCCACAGAAAGCATTTTATAAACTTCATTCAAGCATTTTATAAACTTCAAATTTTAATAAAATGCTTTTTAAAAAATGTTTCATAAAAAGCTTTTTAAAGTATTTTTAATAAAAAGCTTTTTAAAGCATTTTTAATAAAAAGCCATTTAAAGCATTTTTAATAAAAAGCTTTTTAAAGCTTTTCACAAAAAACTTTTTTCAGATCGTATTCTTAACAACCTCCGAAAAGTTTAAATACAACAAGATTTTCAACTTACCAAATATGAGCCAACATCTTTTGGGGCACACCTGATTGCAAGAATACATTTTTAACCTCCAGACCCGAAACTAAACCATCTTTATCGCGATCAGCTTCTCTAAACATGACCTCGAAACGTTTCATATCGTCGGCTGTAACAACCCAATCGGCATTGGCAGTTACCGATGGCGGAGCACCAATGGGTATAAGAGGATCTGTGGAAATGAGCGGTGCCACGGTAGCGGGACCACCAACTGGAGGAACACGTTGCATAGGTGGTGGTACAGTAACGGGTAAGGGTATTGCTGGTGGTGGTGCAATATCCTTGGGAAAGTTGGCTACAAAACCACCATCGCCAAAACCTTCATTCGAGGGAGCCCTAGGAACGGCAGCACCAGCAGGTGGTGGTGGCATGGCAGGTGGACCAGGTTTGGGTGGTGGGGCGCCCATGCCAGGTTTACGCAATTCCACCGGCAAAACATCGGGTACCGTGCGCTTCTCTAGTGTTTTATATACCAAATGCATGGCAACCAAAAATTCATGTTTATCCAAATTGCCATCTTTATCCTGATCAGCTAAGTCCCAAATTTTACCCAAAGTATCCATGGGTAATTTGGATTCCAATAGAACACCTTTCACTTTATTGCCTGGCAACATGCCACCCACTGGTTTCAAGGACTCGAATAACTGTTCATATTTTAAGCGATCAATAACACTAATGGACCAATCGCCCGTAGGCACTCCTCCAGCCGCTACAGGAGCTGGTGGTACTCTAGGTGGCACAATCTTGGGTAAGTCACCCTAAAACATCAAAGAAAAGCCATATTCGTGGCAAATAAAGTAATTTTTAAGTTTTTTTCGAATTACATACCACTTTAGGTGGCCTTTCTGTATCCATATAAATGTTATTCATATTGTACACATGACCATGTTGAGCCAGAGACACCAATTTAAGGGCTACATAAAAACCCGGTTTATCCAGAAATCCTTTACCATTGGGATCTGATAAATCCCATACACGACTTAAAACCACATCGCTAAGGCCAGATTTCTTTAAAAACTTTGCTGCAGCCATAGCCTCTATGGTACCCGCACCCTTGGGATCCATCTATATTAACAACAATCAAATGTTAAAGGCTTTATCTTTCAATTGGCTAAAAATCAATCGCCTCTTCCGTCATAGATAACGAGTGTATTACAAAATCTTTTTTCCTTCACAATTTCCCTTACCTGTTTATAGTAGGCCTCATAAATCGCTCCGTGCTTACCGCACAATTTGGCAAAATCTATATTCATTTTGTTGCACTAGGTTCCTCCCTTTTTTTATTAATTTTCCTCGTTATTTAATCCAAAATATACAAAAGTTCTTTAAACTTTTCTCTACGAATTTTTACATTCAATTGCGATTACACTGCTATTTTTTACAAGAAAAAAATGTATTTTATTATCACAAAATCGATAAACTGTAGAAAAAATTCTGACAGTTGAATCGATTTTACCCCAAATAAAACAACAAAAAAATAACTGTGGTGAATTTTTTTTATAAATGGTATTTTACGTTTTGACGACACCCTTAATTTTTTCAATTCTTTTATAAACGCTTTTAAAATATATATTTTGAACTTTTTTCAACGGAAATTATATTATATTTATTATATTTTATATAAAGAATGGCTTTTTCATCGAAAATTGCTTTTAAACAATATTATTTTATTAAATAATTCCAGTACAGAAAAACAGCGAGCTAACAAACTCGATTAATCAAATTACACTGTTGATAAAAATGGCACTGAAGTGGAATGACAAAGAGTTGCCTGACAATGAGGAAAGAGTGATGCCGTATCATTTTGTTTTATATCGTATAAAGACGTTAATTAAGAGTTGAGTATTTATTTTAAATTAAAAATAACGAAAAAAAAGTTTCGGAAGTGGACTTTATATGGAAGCAATGAATAATTATGGCCAACATATTGGTGTTACATTTTGTCCCGATTTGGTTATTTATTAATGAACTTTGTTTATTTTCTCATGATTTAGATGTATATATGCAGTATTTTATGATTATGTCGAAATCCATTTTCCTTTATTTATGGACTCATTTAAAATACTCTACAGTCTAGTCTATAGTCTAGTCTATAGTCTAGTCTATAGTCTAGTCTATAGTCTAGTCTATAGTCTAGTCTATAGTCTAGTCTATAGTCTAGTCTATAGTCTAGTCTATGTCTAGTCTATAGTCTAGTCTATAGTCTAGTCTATAGTCTAGTCTATAGTCTAGTCTATAGTCTAGTCTATAGTCTAGTCTATAGTCTAGTCTATATCTATCTATAGTCTAGTCTATAGTCTAGTCTATAGTCTAGTCTATAGTCTAGTCTATAGTCTAGTCTATAGTCTAGTCTATAGTCTAGTCTATAGTCTAGTCTATAGTTTATTATGGCCAACATATTGGTGTTACATTTTGTCCCGATTTGGTTATTTATTAATGAACTTTGTTTATTTTCTCATGATTTTAGATGTATATATGCAGTATTTTATGATTATGTCGAAATCCATTTTCCTTTATTTATGGACTCATTTAAAATACTCTACAGTCTAGTCTATAGTCTAGTCTATAGTCTAGTCTATAGTCTAGTCTATAGTCTAGTCTATAGTCTAGTCTATAGTCTAGTCTATAGTCTAGTCTATAGTCTAGTCTATAGTCTAGTCTATAGTCTAGTCTATAGTCTAGTCTAGTCTAGTCTATAGTCTAGTCTATAGTCTAGTCTATAGTCTAGTCTATAGTCTAGTCTATAGTCTAGTCTATAGTCTAGTCTATAGTCTAGTCTATAGTCTAGTCTATAGTCTAGTCTATAGTCTAGTCTATAGTCTAGTCTATAGTCTAGTCTATAGTCTAGTCTATAGTCTAGTCTATAGTCTAGTCTATAGTCTAGTCTATAGTCTAGTCTATAGTCTAGTCTATAGTCTAGTCTATAGTCTAGTCTATAGTCTAGTCTATAGTCTATAGTCTAGTCTATAGTCTAGTCTATAGTCTAGTCTATAGTCTAGTCTATAGTCTAGTCTATAGTCTAGTCTATAGTCTAGTCTATAGTCTAGTCTATAGTCTAGTCTATAGTCTAGTCTATAGTCTAGTCTATAGTCTAGTCTATAGTCTAGTCTATAGTCTAGTCTATAGTCTAGTCTATAGTCTAGTCTCGGGTTTCGTTCTTATTTAAAATCGTTGAAAATTTAAAAATAACTGAAAACTTAGCAGGCTTATAATAAGTGGCCTCCGGTAGGTTAGTGTTCGTATCTTGTAGGTCAGAGGTGGTTAGTTCTATTTCCACCTGGAGCTCACAGCAAGACCTATACACCTATGTGTATTTCTTCGTATTTGATGTATATACATTATATTGTCAAACTAAACAACTAATTAACTGGCTTATAGTCGTTGTTAAGCCGCCACTGATATTTTTAGTGACAGCTGCCGTCTTCATTAATATTTGTCGGTGCAGGGCTCTCTCTGCTTTTTGCTGAAACATCCTACCAAGGCGAATTTACATAAGGTGTTATTCAATCAGCTGATTATTATTTTTTTTTCTTAATTCTCCTGGATATAAAGTTTGTTTTTCCAATGATTGACAATGTTACTAAGAGTAACAGAAGAAAAAGAAGAAAGTTTGTTTTTGTTTACATTTTAATATTTAAAAATTTCTGTTTAAACAGAGAAGAACTTCATTAGTATTTTGAATTATTTATGAAAATTCTGAAAATACCAAACATTTTGCAAACAAATATTATTTTATTTAAATAATTGCATCATTTCATTTCGTTGTATCTTAATTGGTATATGTATATACAAAAATTTTATTTAAGAAAAATATTTTTTCTATTTAATGTTAACATATTAAACAATATTGTTTAATATTTTATATAAATACTGTGTAGATAACGTGATTAACTGAAAAGGTCTGTCCCGGAACTCTTTATATAACAAAACCGATGTGTGCTATTTACCCGACAGACGGCAGCTACGTTATTGCCAAATTTTTTAATTTACTCCGCCTTATGCAACAAAGATTTATTCATTCGTTATAAATTGTTTTCATATATTTATACTTTTTTATGTTTAGTTTTCCCGAAAAATTAAGTTTTATATTATTTCAGGCATATACTTAAGATTTGCAAATTAATCTGCCGGAATAGAATTTTTCGTTTGATATGTTTGCTTAACAAATTTATTATTTTTATCGTTACTTTTTTTTAAATATAAAATTTTCACAAACAATTTTCATGAAATGAATTCGCCGTACATATTATTTTTGACATCTAATTGAACCAAATGCAAAAACAAAATATGTGTACATGTAAAATGTTATTGTTGCCGAACTGCCACCACCTCATGTGAATTCGCCTTGCTTCCTACGGAAGAAAACGAACAAGAAGAAGGAGTAGATAAAAGATAAACAACAAATGTCTTCGCGATTTTTTAGCGTATATAAACAAAAAAACCTTTAGGTGTAGAAAATTTTTGCGGTTTTTACTTATTGGACGAGTAAGAAATTAAGAAAAGAACTTAATTCTCAATTTAATAAATTTAAAAAGTGTTAAATTAAAGATATTTGCAAATTAAAAAGTATTACGAAGTCATGAAATTAAATGAACCAGTTAGTGGTAGCAGTCCAGTAGTAACACCTCTTAAAATATCCTCCGTATTGGGACAGAAATTGGCGAAGGTGGAGCCAATGCAAAAAAATGATTTATTAGAGAATGGTGGCGGCGGTGCTACTGCTGCTGCAAACGATGAAGATTTTGATAATTCTCCAGACGAAGATGAAGATTCTACAAAAGATGAAGATGTGGCTTTAACGACTACTGCTGCTGCATTTGCAAAAGATAATATTAAGTTAGAGACGGATGTGGGAGAGGGTGGTGGTGGTGGAAGTGTTGGCGGTGGCATTGTGGCAGATGGCATTGTTGGAGGTGGTGTTGATAATGATACAGCCGAAACAGAAGAAGAATCGAATGCTGGTGGCAAAAAGAAAGGTGTACGAAAAAAACGTTCTATTAATTGGGAGGAAGCGGAAAGGGTAAGTGCATTTATTAGTTTAATTAAAAAACTTTTTCTTTGGTTTGGTTGTTATGTTATGGTTCTTTTTTTTAATTTTACAATTAGTTGATTATTTTTTAATTTAATTTTCATTTAAAATAACATTGATTGAGCTATTTCTTATTATGCAAATAAGTTTTTATTATTAACCCTTAAACGGTCTGAATGTTGTGTTTTTGTTGCTTTTGTTTATTTTATGACTTCTTGGGCTGGTGCTGCGTGTAGTTATTTATTATTATGCAAAATTTGCTTTTTTGTTCCTTTTAATAATTTTATGTTGCTGTTAATTTGTGTTGATATTTGTACCCTACACCCCACGTAGAAGTTATCATAGGTATTATGTGTACCCTCTAAAGATTTTTGACATCCATATTAACGTATGCTGATCAATCTGTTGAGTTGAGAACTTTAAAAGATTTCAACAAAGCATTCCAAAGAATCTTTTGAATGTTTTAAAGGAACTTTGCAAAGTTTCCTATAGAAACTTTACAAAGCTTTCTATAAAAACCTTGAGTTGAAAACTTTAAAAGATTTCAACAAAGCATTCCAAAGAATCTTTTGAATGTTTTTAAAGGAACTTTGCAAAGTTTCATATAGAAACTTTACAAAGCTTTCTATAAAAACCTTACAAAGCTTTCTTTTAATACAAAGTTCTCGTTTGAATTCCTGTCGGGAATGCTTCATACATCCTTTTTTAATTAACCCTTAGTATATTTTATCTGTTGCTTTGTAACTACGCTTGAATGGTGATTTAATCGGTTCTCTTTTAATTTCTGTTTTAATTTAAAAAAATCTTGTTCTAATATTTGCAATTGTGCATTTTTAAAGTTTAAACAATTGTGTTTAAAAAATCCTCTTTCCTTAGAGCCTTCTAGTTGAGGTTATTAAACCGAAAGTTGATTTTGTGGAAAATAAAGCTGTTGATGCAAAAAGTATCAAGTCTAAACGTATGGCTTGGTTGCATGTAACCAAACAGTAAGTGATTAACAGATTTTTCTAATAAAACATTTAAAAAAAATTTAATAATTTGTTCGACTAGATTTAATTCATTAAATTTTCGTCATCGTTCTTTGGAACAAATACAAGTACAGTGGCGTAGTATGAAAAATTTGGCCAAAAAAGAATATCAACAAAAACATCCCAAGAGCACAGCCTCACAACTGGAGGGCTTACAAATGTTGGAATTTATGGAGGAAATGCAAAAGGAGCCCATAATGGGTGGCACACGCAGTCAAACGCGCAACTCGACAATACAAAATTCGCTTAAAAAAGAATTGCCTGACGATATGGAAGATGAAGAGGAGGATACCCCGTTGGCGGCTTTACCCAATGCTCTATTGAATCACAGTAACAGTGAAGATACACAACCAACATCAACTTTAGCACTACCATCACCTCCCACCTCAGCAGAATCACATCACTTGGAATACCAGCAGCAGCAGCAACAACAACAATTAATGGAAGTTAATAATATTAGAATGAAAAAGAAAAAATCTTTACCGAAAATCAAGCAAAAACTCACTAAAACCAAGAGCCCTTTGTTAAGTTCCAAATTGCAGGAGAAATCCTCCTCAGGTGGAGGCATAGGTTTAAAGATCAAACGACAAAAGTGTGAAACCTCAACATCATCTTCCTCTTTGACAGATGTTTCCACCACTGGCATTATGTTGAATTCAATGTCTAATGTTAATACCAGCTATCATACCACCGATTCAAAAGCCGCCAATAACACAGTATCCCTTACCTCCACTAACCTAAACACACCGCCTCTTTCTCCTCCCATCTGCTTAGATGAAAAGTATAAGAAACAATTATTCGATCTAATAAAACGTGCGCGTTTGGCTGAAATAGATTTTGCCCGTAAAGAACACGAGCAAAAGTTACGCTTTGAACAGCAAGAGCAGGAACTCAAATTACGTTATATGACCGAAATTCATGAACAACGAATGCGTTTTTGTTTGCAGGAACATGAAGCTCGCATGCGAGTTTTTGCCACCGCAGCACAGGCAACAAATACAACGCTTCCTGCTAGCAACAACGAAAAATAAAATATTTATGAGAAACAAAAGAAATTATGGAAAAGTTAAAAGATTAAATGCCAATAATATTAAACACAAATGGGATATAACAACAATAACAATAATAATAATGTATTATATACTCATACATAGGAATTATGTATTTATGTATTGTATATGTATAACTTATGCATTTATTATTTTTAAATTATTATTTTAATACTCAGCTAATTTGAATGGTTGTATTCATTTATTTTTTATTTTTATATTAAGAAATTTAGAAATCTTTTAGATGCTAAACAGATATAAAATACCACTCAACTTCAGCAGTTCTGTAAGGTTTTCTTGTTTTGTAAAAAGAAGTAAAATGTTACGAAAAAAACGTGAAAATTTTGTTAAGAACAAACAAAATTCAAAAAGTTTCCAAGTATTCATTTTGTTCATACAAAACAAGACCGTTATTGTATAGGAATTTTATAATATTTTTTTACTTATATTTAAGTATTTTCATAAAACACTTTTCAGTATTATTAAGTCATTTTTTATATATTTTTTATTATTTAATTATGTAGTTTAATATTCATATTTTTGAGCTATAAGTTCGTTTAACCATTAATTTGGTGCAAAATAAATAATTTAAAAAGTTTTAATAAATAAATTAAAAAAATCAAAAAACATATTGAAATTTAATAAAATAGAAGTGCAATAATAAAATTACTTGTACTTGTGTTTAATTTTAAAAACAACTACAGATATAGATAGATAGATAGATAGATAGATAGATAGATAGATAGATAGATAGATAGATAGATAGATGGATGGATGGATAGATTGATAGATAGATAGATAGATAGATAGATAGATAGATAGATAGATAGATAGATAGATAGATAGATAGATAGATAGATAGATAGATAGATAGATAGATAGATAGATAGATGGATAGATTGATAGATAGATAGATAGATAGATAGATAGATAGATAGATAGATAGATAGATAGATAGATAGATAGATAGATAGATAGATAGATAGATAGATAGATAGATAGATAGATAGATAGATAGATAGATAGATAGATAGATAGATAGATAGATAGATAGATAGATAGATAGATAGATAGATAGATAGATAGATAGATAGATAGATAGATAGATAGATAGATAGATAGATAGATAGATAGATAGATAGATAGATAGATAGATAGATAGATAGATAGATAGATAGATAGATAGATAGATAGATAGATAGATAGATAGATAGATATAGATAGATAGATAGATAGATAGATAGATAGATAGATAGATAGATAGATAGATAGATAGATAGATAGATAGATAGATAGATAGATAGATAGATAGATAGATAGATAGATAGATAGATAGATAGATAGATAGATAGATAGATAGATAGATAGATAGATAGATAGATAGATAGATAGATAGATAGATAGATAGATAGATAGATAGATAGATAGATAGATAGATAGATAGATAGATAGATAGATAGATAGATAGATAGATAGATAGATAAATAGATAGATAGATAGATAATAGATAGATAGAATAGATAGATAGATAGATAGATAGATAGATAGATAGATAGATAGATAGATAGATAGATAGATAGATAGATATAGTTCATCCATGTGTGCAAGAAAATAGAAACCAAAACGACATTCCCTATTACCAGCCATTGCTGGACAGAAACAGAGGAAGTGGGACCCCGTTTCTTCTTCATCTTCATTATATATATCAATGGCATAGCGTCCAGGTATTAGAGACAATACTTGCCAAAAGGTTAGTCTTAGAATTATCTTATATATATCTTATATATACTAGTTTATTATTACTAGACTGCTGATTAGTCTATGGACTAGTAGTCTGTTGACTATTCTATGGACTAGTCTATTAATTACTCTATGGACTAGTTTGTTGACTTGCCTATGGACTAGTCTGTTGACTTGTCTATAGATTAGTTTGTTGACTTGTCTATTGTCTGCTCTATGTTATAGCCTTTTGACTAATCTATGAACATGTATATTGCCCACTTTGAAGTAGTCTATTGTCTAGTTTATAAAGTGAACATTATTTCGATTAGTTTATTGACTAGTCTATTAATTGGATTAACTAGGATAACTATATGTACTAGTCTACAGTCTGCTCTATGGACTAGTCTATGAATCCATGGAGCTGCTGTACACCATTCTTTGACTAGTCGATTAACTAATATATAGATTAACTATTGACCAATTTATAGATTAGTGTATTGTCTAGTCTATGGACTAAACTACTCTTTTGCCTAGTCTATAATTAACTTGGAAAAGTTATTAAAATAGTAAATGTACTTAATATGCAGTAGGATACCGCATTACACCCATGCAAAAAGTAATGCAACAGCTCCAATAGTACTGAATTTTTCATGTTTTGAATCTTTCGAAAGAAATATCAGTAAAGACGTCAATATTTTCATCCTTTATCGTTTTGATTATCTTGTTTAGTTCAACAGCCATACAGACCTGTTTGTTGCTGTGATTAGGGAACTATTTAAGCATAAACCTAGAATGTCAAAGACACCCAGCACTTTCTGTAGATGTGTTATCTATGTAGATGTGTTATTAAAATATTTTTTATTTTTTTAACTTAATAGTAACCCAGCAAAAAAAGTGTAGAAAAAGATGTAGAATTTTCATCACAACTAGTAACCCGAAGTGCTTCAAATTCGGGTGTAAAACCTATGAATTTTACATTAGCGTGTCATTGGAGGGATGTTGTTCATTTTTGGCAACTCTGAACTACATCTGATCTTATTTTTAGAAGCAGTAAAAATCCGATATTTGGATGTCAAAAATAAAACACATTCTCTTAATGATACGCTTATGTAAATTTCACTACTCTTTCACCAAATCTTGATGTACTTCAAATATGTTATTTGTAATGATTTTTCCACATGTCTTTCCTCACTTTTAACTGGGGTTTCATTTGTAAGGAAATATTTGGTTTATAAAAGTGAAAAATATGTGATCGCATTTTAAGATGTGATTAAGATGTAGTTTGTAAAGTATGACATCAATTATTTTTTGCTGGGAACGTTTATAAACTTTAAGGTTGTGGTCTTTGCTTTTATAAAATTTAATTTAAAGATTTTTGCAGCACCCAGTTGAATGTTGTAGAAAAATGCTTCTTAAATTCCACAATGTTGGTTGTTGTCTATGCTACACTATACAAAGATGACTGAACTAATTATAAACAAAAGACATTGGGATAGGTCATTTCATAAATTTCATGAATTTCATTAAAATTCAAAAAGTTTCTTAAATACAGATGACAACCCTTGTCATTTTCATTCATAAATCGTTGATTGAATTTCCTTATTAATTTATTTTTAATAATTTTGGTTAATAAACACTTGCTACTAAAGAGACACATAACATATTTAGCTGTAAAGGATAATAACCGAGAATGCGCAATATCCATTTCATCTCCTGTAAAGTATAAAATCTAAAAGAAACAGTTCCTAAAGTATTCAGTATTGTTGCAAATGCGGAAGTAACATGATTAAAACGCAAGAATATGTAAATATATTACCAAAAAAATGTGATAATGTTATGATATCCTGTCAAATGCTTTTCCCATATAGTTTCGTATAGGCGCACGTGTGTGAAAATTTTTCACTAATTTTAAATTCCATTTGATTCGGCAAATTTGATTAATATCCTTAACATGCTGAATTCAATTAACAATTAAAGCGATTAATATTAACATCATATTGAAGTTTAATGAAGACAGGTTTTGTTAATGTTAGTATTAATTGTTTTCTGCTTTAAGTGGTATTTGTGGTATTTTTTATTTCCGTTTAATTGTAGTACATGAGATAGAATGTTCGCTTGAAACACGTGTGTATACTTGAAAGTTTTATGTGTTCATAACACGGATTATTGATAGATAGATAGATGGATAGATAGATAGATAGATAGATAGATAGATAGATAGATAGATAGATAGATAGATAGATAGATAGATAGATAGATAGATAGATAGATATATAGATAGATAGAGATAGATAGATAGATAGATATATAGATAGATAGATAGATAGATAGATAGATAGATAGATAGATAGATAGATAGATAGATAGATAGATAGATAGATAGATAGAATAGATAGATAGATAGATAGATAGATAGATAGATAGATAGATAGATAGATAGATAGATAGATAGATAGATAGATAGATAGATAGATAGATAGATATATAGATAGATAGATAGATAGATAGATAGATAGATAGATATATAGATAGATAGATAGATAGATAGATAGATAGATAGATAGATAGATAGATAGATAGATAGATAGATAGATAGATAGATAGATAGATAGTAGATAGATAGATAGATAGATAGATAGATAGATAGATAGATAAGATAGATAGATAGATAGATAGATAGATAGCTAGATAGATAGATAGATAGATAGATAGATAGATAGATAGATAGATAGATAGATAGATAGATAGATAGATAGATAGATAGATAGATAGATAGATAGATAGATAGATAGATAGATAGATAGATAGATAGATAGATAGATAGATAGATAGATAGATAGATAGATAGATAGATAGATAGATAGATAGATAGATAGATAGATAGATAGATAGATAGATAGATAGATAGATAGATAGATAGATAGATAGATAGATAGATAGATAGATAGATAGATAGATAGATAGATAGATAGATAGATAGATAGATAGATAGATAGATAGATAGATAGATAGATAGATAGATAGATAGATAGATAGATAGATAGATAGATAGATAGATAGATAGATAGATAGATAGATAGATAGATAGATAGATAGATAGATAGATAGATAGATAGATAGATAGATAGATAGATAGATAGATAGATAGATAGATAGATAGATAGATAGATAGATAGATAGATAGATAGATAGATAGATAGATAGATAGATAGATAGATAGATAGATAGATAGATAGATAGATAGATAGATAGATAGATAGATAGATAGATAGATAGATAGATAGATAGATAGATAGATAGATAGATAGATAGATAGATAGATAGATAGATAGATAGATAGATAGATAGATAGATAGATAGATAGATAGATAGATAGATAGATAGATAGATAGATAGATAGATAGATAGATAGATAGATAGATAGATAGATAGATGATGGATGGATAGATAGATAGATAGATAGATAGATAGATAGATAGATAGATAGATAGATAGATAGATAGATAGATAGATAGATAGATAGATGGATAGATAGATAGATAGATAGATAGATAGATAGATAGATAGATAGATTCGAATTTACATTTACTTCTGAATTTCATTGTAGTTTACATTCCTGGAATGATCAATGTTAAAATCACTTAAATCGCATTCCTTGATTTTATTTAATAAAAACAACAATTTAAAATTGTAGTTCTTAAGAGTACAATAAAAGGATGCGCAGAATCTCTTTCGTTTCGCAAATAAAATGAAAACTGTTTTTTAACAGGTGTTGACCAGAGTGTATAATATCTAACTTAACAGTTTCATAACAAAGGCGGAAGTATAAAATACATAAACTACCAACAACCGGCGAAAAATTTTTATTAATAAACATACATATGTAT